CAACCTAATCTAACCTTCAAACCGGTGAGTATAAAACATGATACGAACTATAAGCTCCCATCCTGGAATGCAAGATCGCGTACTCCCATGGAATCCCATCTACCCGCGCCCAGTTTTCTCCTTGTACAACCACAGTATGAGGTTGAAGCGATAACACCCGCATTCCAAGCCTAAAAAGCCACGGTTTCACTACACATGGCTCCACGTGCAAGACATGTGGGATGGGACGGGCGCGAAACGAGGGAGAGTGAGACTTTGCATTTGTTGTGGTGGTCGCTAAGGAGTTTATGGTGGATAGTGGTTTTTTTCTTTCTGGATATATTATTTTTGGCCTTGTGGGGGTGGGTAGAAGGGGGATTATTGGTATTTTCGTGATTTTATATTATGTTTCTCACGTTCTGAATATAAATGGATTTCAAGATCTTGACGGTGCGAGAGTAATCTTACATACGACGTCATATGGTGATTTTGAAAGAGCGTGGATGAGACTACGAGTCTACGACATGTCTCAAAAAACGGATTAAAGAGCCCGTCCTTGGTAAATGCACATGAGAAAGTACATGTCTCTGGCTTCAGTGGCTTGCTTGCTTATTGTGACAGTTTTTGATTTAGTGAATAAGGGTTCGCTTAGCGAAGTTGCGGGTGTACCCTTCCGTAGATAGACAAATACCTAAGGAGTGCGAAGAGCGTCTCTCTTCCCTCCTTGCGAACAATCTATTCCTTGATCCCCACCATAACACTTATTTCAAGGGGTTCGCTAGAATACCTGCGAACGCTTTCTTGAAACCGTAACTTGGAAACTCGGATACAGATTCTGCATTACCTTTGCTCTGGGGAACCGTGTTGGTTACTCTAATGGCCTGGAGTGTTACAAGTATTTCTTGTTGTCGAGTGAATGTCTAGCTTACCCACGAATCGAACAAGACGTCCTTTGTCAGCGGAATATTGAACATGACTCTGAGTCCAATTGGATAGTGTATGCCGTCCATGGCTGGAAGTAATGATATAGCCAGGGAATTGTGCTTCCCACGCCATCAAGCGAAGCTTGTTCACTTAACATGTATCTGCAATGAATGAAGGTCCTTGGGTGGTTTGATAGAGCTTCTCTTTCCACCTCCTCAATCGGGCGAATCTCTTCCAACGGGGTGGGATGTGTGTTTTGAGGCGCGCTTCTGTGTAAGTTCCTAGTGGCCTATTCACGAACTTTCGTGGCTAGAAAGCTCGGTGATGGTATGGTTTCCACAAGGATCCTAATTTCTCATGATTTAGCTTTTTGGCTTGATCTTAAGGTTTTATGGCAGCTGAGAATATTTGCTGCTAGTTTCCGAACTCCGTGTAGAAATGATGGTCTGATGATTTGGAATACTGTGCGCCTTTTGAGGAGAATTTATTTGATAAAATAGTACTTTTCTGTATCTGGGTATGAGGTCTTGGAAAGCTCAGGAACTTGTTGTTAGCTAGGTACTTGACTGTCCCGCCATTTTTGAAGGGGAAAATAGTTCCGTCCTGTCAGTTAAGTTGGATTTCATTTACAAACGTCTATATCACTGATATATAGATGTATCGTATCACCTTCCTTTCTTTTTCTTCGCATGAAGGCTTTACGCTGTTTAAGGGAAATGTTCATTCGACACGTCTTTCGATATCTATAAGGACTAGGGCTTATCTCTCTTTTCATGGGAATAATTATTCCACGGTGGTTTTGAATATCTGTTTCTTGTTATTCAAACAGTACCCATGATGTTATAGACTTCCACCTTGAATCTCAGGTGTTGATTTGATATGGGGACAACTAATTTAATGACGGCAATGGTAGCATGTGTGGCTAATTCACCAAAGTGAACTGATAATGGAGCTACCGAATAAATGCGGATTGCATATCGGGTCCTCAACCATTACAAGTAACTACCAACTACGGATATGACCATCACAAGTTACTATAACCTTGAAAAGTGTATGGCTTGGTTGCGATACACTTGTCATTTGCTGCCGAAAACTTAGGTGTTCTTGATAACATTACTAGCTTTACTTTGTGGATTTTTGTTTGGTCTCTTACGAACGTGAAAATACATGCTAAGAAGTACTAATACTAGCGCTGAGAAACTGCTAATCTGGAGTTCTTACAGTAACCATTAAAGCCGATGGAGCATGCCAAATGTTATCTTCCCTGACGAGAGCTACTACGAAGACGATTAGTATTCTTAAAACCAACACTAGCAGGAGGCCCTGGTAATATAGCCATTATATTAATGTTGCTCGCCATAGAGTTGAAAAGAGATGGAGCGTCTAGTGTAAAACCTATGATCTTCCGGAAGGAAATAGTTGCGAAAATATTTCATAAATATAGTCTTTATTTTAGTCATGGGCAATCTTGTTAAGAGATTAGGGCCATTAGATTGAATTCAAGAGCATAGTTTAGAAGGTTATCAAATAAAGTTGTTTAGAGTGATTTGATTAGTTGAATTCATATGATATGATTAGGAGGGAAGCGAAGGCAAAACCTTCTCTTAGGTCGCAACACACCTTATACAGGAATGATGTCTTATATGAATTTCATACCGCATTAGACACTGTACCCTTGTACATTCATCTTATACCAAAGGTGCTCCACTCCTCTTCTACCTTGAGGCTTCTCTACTTTCAAGATCCATGGGATTAATCTCAAACCACGCCTTCTAACTATTAACCTCTTCGTAAACAAACCACTGCTTTAGCCTGGTAGCGTTAATTACTTGATGAGACCTACGCTGAATGCGTATGGCATAGAAGAATTGGCTTAAAGCTTCTGAAGAAGCCCCCAGAAAGCAGAATGGGACCCTCTAAAATTGCGAATGCTCTAGTGGTTAACTAAAAGAGTGAATTGGAGCTTTATAGCTGGGACTCTAGCACGATCGCAGCAGATAAGAGGGCGGCCCAATTGTCTATAGTCTTGAAGTCGTGGCGAAGTCACCGTAAACTCTCTTTCGTAGCTCTTCATGTACTAACTTGACTTACAATGATAATACGTAAGCGAGTTGGAGAAAATATGTTTGTTGTGGGTATTTGTTATGTGCAAAACCCTGAGATTGGTGAGCAAGTATTCACAGAGAAATTATGAAAGCTGACATAGGGGCAGTGAGGTAATTGTTGGACTTATGGGATATTTCCTTCTCCATAGAGTTTGTTGGACGCATATAAAGTAAGAGGATAAGAGGCAAATTACAAGGAATAGAACAATGCAAATGGCAAATCAGCCACAACAAAGTATAATGTTCATCCATCAGAGGCCTCCTGCACACTTCGAAGCTTGGTCAATGATAGAAGAGAGAGTGGGAGTATCCCGGAACCAAATATTGTGTTTTAGAAGTCACTGATGAAATGAAGTTGAGCAAGCTAATGTGGGTAGAATAGTTCCGTCCTGACGTCCCATTTGGATACAAATGTGGAATGGGTATTGAAATTATATGGGATGAGCAGCCCAAATGGCACTCGTTACTTTTACTGTGAGGGAGCGATTTAGTTCTAAAAGAAAGTATAATCCCATCGAGCCAATAGCAGAAACAACGTTAACAGGAACTTGCAGTTAAGAAGAATCGCAAGAACAGAGAGTTTGGTTGACTGCTCGTTGAGAACTTAAGGCTTCTTTCGATTTAAAAGACATTTGCCGCTAGTTGAGAATAAAGTAGAATGACGTGAATACTCAATCCAAGGAGGACAGAACTGAACCAATTGGCCGTTCCCCTAGCGAGAGAATCCATGAGTGTGAAAATCGACAGGAGTTTTTTGTAATTGCTTCCTGCAAGAAGTCATATAAGAGATCTATACACATTTGAGTTTTCCTAAAGAATGTTTATGAACTTCTGGCGTTTCTTGGGACAACCTCCTGAATCTAAAAAACTACCGAGCCCCCCAAAAATGCCGAGAGTTCCATCGTCATCGAACTCCACCATCGATTCCAGGCGCAACACTAGCAACTCCTCTGCTTTTGCATTCCCAAATTTAGTCTCACATCCGCTGAGACTACACCGAGGCCAAAATGTAAGCGGACTTTGAGAAGATACAGCGGTGTCTTGGCCAACTAACGAGATTTGGCGACCCAAGAACTCTACGACGAAAAGAGCCAGGGTTCACCTAGATACGTATATCGGACCAAATCCTTACCACAAAACTCTTTCGTGAATTATCACGCGATAGCTCAAAAAATTCTATACCTAAAACCTTTTTCACCTATAAGGCCAAGCCAACTATCGCAAGAATTCTCATTCCCAAGGCCCTACAAGCCGCTATCATGTCACTATTAATCAATATCCATGCACCAGCCCGTCTCGATAACCATCATCATCACAGAATTGACCACTCATCGTCATTCCTCCCCCCTCTCGTATACCTCCTCCCCGAATAAGAAAGCCGAGCCATATCCGAGAGCCCTAATAAACGCAGCCAAGAGACCCCGCGATATTCCGCCTTTTATGCCAAGGTAATATGCGTCATTCTAGAATTTTCTCGACCAATAAGTGTCTTTTTTCGTAAACGAGAGTTCCCACACGACGCCACCCCACATCAATTTCCGCGCTTGGGAGCGGGCACGTGATAAAATCTGGGCGGCGTAGCGGAACGCGAACCCTTGGCCAACAAAGCCAAGGCTTAGCCTTTATAGTATAGTTCAACTCATTGGTAAACTACAATGACATCTTCCTAAAGACAAGAATAACTCACTTGGCAGATGCCTTAGGTTTAGAGGGGTAGACCCATATCATTCAACTTCACTATCTTTTCACGCCGTCTGTTCCGTGGATACTCAGGTGTATATAGTAGGCCTTCATCCCCCTTTCAAACATTTTAACTTCAAGATATCAGACAGCTTGTCTTTATCTATGATTGATACCACACGACGAAGACTCCCTACTATTCCCTCGACTAGGAATAGATCATCTTTGAAGTACAAGTAACTGAAAACTTCACAAATAACACAAACTACGAATCAACAAATCAATCAACACACAAAACAACAAAAGCAGACAATGGCACCTAAGAAGTCCCCCACAAGCTCCCGAACCACCCACCACCCTTTCCTCCTCTCTATTGAAGATGTGGCAACCCAACTAGGAACCAGCATTGAAACTGGTTTGAGTGCCCGTCGCGTCCAAGAATTGCAGAATTCCAATCCACCAAACGAACTAGAAGGCGGAGGAGGAACACCCTGGTACAGGATCCTACTGAAACAATGTAGTAACGCCATGATCCTCGTAAGTTCCCCATTCTGCCCCCAAAAATAAATGATAAACTAGGTGGAAAATGAGCTGACAAAATCAAGGTTCTGGTCTTTGCAATGGCTCTAAGTTTCGGAGTAGAAGACTATGTTGAAGGCGCGGTATTGGTTGCTGTCATTGTACTGAATGTCAGTATTGGATTCTTTCAGGAATTCAAGGCCGAGAAGAAGATGGATTCTCTTCGTGCTCTTTCCTCGCCTAGTGCGGCGGTCCTTCGCGATGGCCAGATTGACACAATTCCAAGGTTTGTCTTTTCTAAATCCCCCTTTCAAATTCCATGAAATTTCTAACTTCCGAAAATAGTTCTGAAGTTGTCCCGGGAGACATCGTCATCCTCAAGACCGGCGACACAGTCCCTGCAGACGTGCGACTCTTCGAGGTCATGAATCTCAACTGTGATGAGAAATCACTGACAGGAGAGTCCGAGCCCGTTGAAAAGATTATCGAGAACAACATCACAGTTCCAGGTTCGGATGGAAGACTCGCAAGTGAGGAAGGAGAAGTCGGTATTGGTGATCGATTCAACATGGCCTATTCCACAACGACAGTGACTAAAGGTCGGGGTCGTGGTATCGTAACCTATACTGGAATGGAGACAGAAGTTGGAAAGATTGCATCGAGTACCACTAAGAAACAAAGAAAGAAAGGAAGGAGCATGAACTACAAGAAATACGGCAAGATTCAACCTGTCAAAGGACTTGCCAGACGAGTTTATGATGCCGTCGGCTCATTTCTGGGTCTCACTGTGGGAACACCCTTGCAACGAAAGCTTTCGAAATTGGCATATGTCCTATTCGGATGTGCAATCTTGCTTGCTATCATCGTATTCGGTGTTAACAAATTCAATGTGACCGACGAGGTCGCAATTTATGCCATTTCGACTGGCATTGCGATTATCCCGGAGTCTTTGATCGCGTAAGTAGCCCCATAGCTGTTAAAATGATCTATTAGCACTAACTTGTTACAGTGTCTTGACCATTACAATGGTCGTTGGAATGACAGTCATGCGAAAAGCGAATGTTGTTATCCGAGATTTGTCTGCCCTTGAAGCTCTTGGTGGAATAACCAATATTTGCTCAGACAAGACTGGAACTCTCACTCAAGGTGCCATGATTGTCAAGAAAGTATGGCTGCCAAAAGTTGGCATCTACACCGTCAACAATTCAATGGATCCAAAAGATCCCACACAAGGAGATGTCACCAAGGGAGTTGCTCCCACTCAACAGGAAACTCAAACATCAGAAGCGCCCGACTACGATATCCAACGCAGTGCAGCGGCTTTGAAATTTAGCCTACCAGTCCAAAAGGGAGCGGCGCAGACAGAGCCTCAACAATCCGTTTACACCAAGGCAGAAGAGGAAGCCACGATAACCCCAGAGCTCGAAGCTTTTCTGGAGCCAGTAGCATTGTGTAATCTCGCTACTGTGAAGCTAGAACAAGTCGAAGGATACCAGGAAAAGAAATGGCAAACAACTGGCGAACCTACCGAAATCGCACTCCAGGTCTTTGCCCATCGTTTTGATTCTGGCAAAAGGAAACTTGAAAGCTCCGGATGGAAACAAATTGCCGAGTTTCCATTTGATAGCAGCATCAAGCGCATGTCGGTAGTTTATGAGTCTCCCAGGGATGAAAGCAGCATGGTGTTTACCAAGGGCGCTGTGGAACGGATCCTCGACTTCTGCTCTTCCCTCGGCACAGGCGAAAATAACGAGACCATGACAGACGAACTCAAAGAGCACATTTTATTTCAAATGAACGAACTCGCATCTCAGGGACAACGGGTCCTCGCGGTTGCCTCCCGAAGATGGGATGGCGTTTTTCCAACTCAGAAAAAGAACAGCGATGAGTTCAGATCGGAGGTCGAGCAAAATCTGACTCTCGTTGGACTGGTGGGAATTTACGACCCCCCTCGAGATGAGACAAAAGCTGCCGTCGCAGAGTGCTCAAATGCTGGAATAAAAGTTCACATGTTAACCGGCGATCATCCTTCGACAGCTGAAGCAATTGCCAAAGAGATTGGGATCATTCCTCGAAATCTAGGTATTCTCCCAGCTGATGTGGCACAATCAATAGTCCAAAAAGCAACCGATTTCGACAAGCTTACGGATGACGAGATTGATGCAATGCCCGAGCTCCCTCTTGTTATTGCTCGCTGTGCTCCTGATACTAAAACACGCATGATTGAAGCACTTCGCCGAAGAGGACTCTTTATGGCCATGACTGGCGATGGTGTAAATGACGCACCAAGTCTGAGCTCTGCAGACGTCGGAATCGCTATGGGACTTGCTGGTTCTGATGTCGCTAAAGGGGCAGCAAAGATTGTGCTAACCGATGATAAATTCAACAGCATTGTCACAGCAATTCGAGAAGGCCGAAGAATGTTTGACAATATCCAAAAATTCGTACTCCATCTTCTTACATCCAACGTTGGCGAAGTTATTCTTCTGATTGCTGGTCTCGGTTTCCAAGATGAAACAGGCTTCTCGGTATTCCCATTGAGTCCGCTTCAGATCTTGTGGATCAACATGGTAATTATGTCCCGCCCTGTGGTATGAACATTCGTTAATTTCTTTTCTAGATTACTAGTTCCTTCCCAGCATTTGGTCTTGGAAGGGAGAAAGCAAGTTCTGACATCATGCGTCGACCACCACAGAACATGAAATATGGCGTTTTCACGCCTCAGGTTATGGTGGACATGGTCGTATATGGCATTCTTATGGGAACAACAACCCTCATGACATTCGTCATTGTCGTATACGGTGCCAACTCAAGTGATCTCGGGTACGATTGCAATAAGAAGTATACTGATGCTTGCGGGCCCGTTTTCCGGGCGCGTGCAGCTGTCTTCGCTGAGCTCACTTGGCAAATTCTCATCAGCGCATTTGAGTTCAAAAACATGCGTCGTAGTATGTTCAGACTCGATCCCGCAACCGAGAGCAGTTTCCCATTTTTCAAAGATGTATGGGAGAACCAGTTCCTCTTCTGGTCTGTTATCATTGGCGCCCTTTCCGTCTTCCCAGCTGTATATATTCCGGGCCTCAATACTTCGGTATTCAAGCACATAGGTATTACTTGGGAGTGGGGCGTGTCTATTAGTGGTGTTTTCGTATTCGTTCTTGGGATGGAAGCTTGGAAGGGAGTCAAGAGGAAGTTCCATCTCTTTAAGCAGGGCGAAGAGGATAGTGAGGAGCACGCTAGGAAGAAGCTGAGCTTGAGACAGGGTTTCTTTAGTATGGCAAAGGGCTCGAGGCCATCTTCGATTCGATCCTTGAGTAGGAGAGGAACTGAGAGAAGTGCAGCAAGTGTTTCGGAGTTTTCGATGAAGGAGAAAGCGACGGAGGCGGGAACTTTGCGACGATAGGGCGATCGCACTTGAAAGTTTGCTGGATGTAACAAATTGCAAAGCACGTAGTCTGAATAATTGAAGGAAAGGGATTTCATTGAGCTTTAAGAACTGTTATGGTAAATAATGATAAGCAGCAACCTCCTAGTGAGGTTTGTCATTGATCATTCGAGCCTTGGATGTGAGGCCTCCAATTCCTTCTTACTGTACCCCAGCTTCATGTGAGAAATTGTTAGCTTGTCAAAATATCCCAAGTGCTGCCGAATGAAACCTTTTCAATCGGTAAAATTATTCGGAGTTGACAGACTGATTCTGCAAGTATCTATTGAATGCTACGATTTATAGTTAGAATACACCAGTTATCCAGACTCCGGTTCTTTTTACAACACTATTATTATTGTCACATCGAAGTGGGGTTTATGATTACTATGCCGTCGAACTATCAACATCTCCATTTTTCAGACAATCTCTAATTATTTCTTCGTAAACTTCTGATATTCGCTCATACTGACTGACTAGACTTTCACGAAATCATGGAATCGATTTTCCACCAATTGGCGGAGGAAGTTTGCTCGAGATAGTGCTATGATTGGTCATTTTTGAAGGCAAGTACAGTAAGCCGCAAGGATGATTTAAGCCGGCTTACTTTGCGTTGCTCTTTTCCCCCCAGCCAGAATTTCTTTTCACATATTTTGCTTGAGGGCCTATAAAGTATGAGCTCTCGCAAAATGACTTCATTGAGTCATATCTTGGATCAAACAGGAACTCTTTCAGATCACGGCCTTTTGTGTATACAATGCAAGAACACTTTCCAACCCAAGCATCCGGTCGAGATGGAAAACGAGGTTATCTTTCAAGTACCGTTCCACTCCTCGCCGGGAGAGTTGTTACAACAGAAAGATAGGGATAACTCTTGTGAATTTTGTTCGTTTTTTGTTGCCTTTGTACCCCACGCCTGGGCTGGAAATCTGCAACTTGAAAGAATACAGCAAGGAAGGCTCAAGAGACCTTTATTCTTTGTGATGCCTTCAAGAAAAGTCGCAAATCATGTTTTACATGAGATTCGGGTAGACTTTCGAGACGGGAATTTCTTCCAACATCATCCTCCAAGCTTTGTCCTAGTGAATGTTGATGGTAGGCAGCAATAACGGAAATCCAAAAGGGCTTCTCTGTTTGTTTCTAACAGCTTGACAGATCCTCGAACTAAATCGGCATGCCCAATCAGTCTTATGTCACGTAGTACTGCATCCGAATCTAGTTTTGAGAAGATAGCTTCTTGGGTAGACCGCTGCCCGACTTCACACGTGTCATGTCGTCAGCTCAGCCAGAGAACCACTGAGGACAAAATATGGTCACCTACGAGATTAATTCGAATCGACTCAGGCCGTGCCCAATCGTCTACTGTTTTAAGACTATTAGAGTGCAGAGAGAAGCCAGTACAGCGCCCTGTGCTATGGTAACCCTCAAATTAACTAATTAATCAATTAGACTATTATAACCGTAATACTATAGAATTAAGGATTACTATTGTAGTAGTCACAAATATAATAATCTATTTTATAATACGCCTTGTTTATGTCTTAGGAGGGTATAGAATAAGTAGGGTGGTAGGTATAGAATAAGGAATAGAATATAGGCTATCAATATTACAATAATAGCTAATTTATATAAAGGACTATACTCCCTAGCCCTCCCTACTTTCCTAGTACCCTAGTTTATCTACCTTTGTTTAATATAGACGCTACCGACCTAGCTATATTACTGTCACGAATCACGTGTTAGCAGGTGACGAGTGAAGACCAGGCGGCGTCCTGACAGGTTAAGCATTATCACGAACTCTTATAGCGAATAGGGATGCTTAGGCTACCTAAGCGATCCAAGGATTTCTTTTGGTTACTGTCACGTGATCGACTGGCATCAGAGGTGGTCGGCCTGACGACCTCTGAGGAATCAGAAAGGATCAGAGCGATGGGCACTGATTTAGGGGAACGAAGGTTCTATATAAGACTGGCACGTCTGCCATTAGATAGGAGCTTCGTGCTCAACTTAGTTTACTTAGTTACCAATACCTTTTGACTTTGACGACTTTGTACAAGTGACGAGTTTACCTCTGAGTAAACAACCCGGCGCATCTGATCTTCTTATCTGCATACCAACCTTCGGAACGATTACTTTTGTTAGATAGTTTGAGTTTCGTCACAATTACCTTCTAGGGCTAACTTTATACTACTCTTTCTACCTTCGGGGGTAGAGCTATCTTATATTAACTCCTTTCCTAACGTAATAAAGTATTAATTTAAGCGCTATATTAAGTCCTCTTCTAATCGCTCTATATTAACTAGTATAAGGCGCTCTAAGATTAGGGACTAGTTACTTAATCTAGGTGCTTATATTCTAATTTTACTCGGTAAAGCGGAGTACGCTTATTAGTTGTGACGGTTCTAACCGCCACTACACCTCAGACCAGCCCCTGGCTGGAACCCAGCGGATACCGTGCTTCCTGAGCCCGGCTCAGTTAGCTATAGCTTGGCACAACCTCCTGTATATAAGAACCTCTGGCTCCCGAGCTCTGCTCTCTTCTCTTCTCTCCTTAGCTTAGAATCCTCGAATAGACAGTTCCACAGTGTCAATCTCACCACTCGTGATACCTGACGTAGTCGTGCTCTTGCGCGGTCCATCAGCTGTGCGTGTCGTCACATTAGTAGAACGTACGCTCTTTTACCTTGTAATATTTTAAGCTTAAGAATAACTAGATTTATTATAAGGAGGAAATAAAAGGTGTATACTTAAACCGCTAGTACGCTACTTATATATAAGATAGTTTTAAATTAATCTCTAGAGTCTATCGAGTATTATATTATACTAGTATAAGTATATTCTCTCTTTTACTTAAATAAGATACTAATCTTAATAAAGGTTAATAAAACCTATAAAAGAGTCTATAAGTTATACTATAGTATTACGTAAAGGGACGTAGAATAGGTAGTTTAAAAGTATTATATTTATAACTTAAATATACTTATAAAAGAGAAACTAATAATTATACTAATTATCCCTTATTATTATAATAAGCGTATCTACTTAGATTTAATAGATTTTACGTTATAACCTAATAATAGCTATAACTAGGTCCTTTAAATAAAGGACTACTTCTCTTAGATAGTTTAGTTATATCCTCTGAGAGATAAGAGTAGTAAAGAGGTAGCTAAAGTATTCTATAAGTACTTTAGTTATCCTAATTATTTTACTAAGTATAAATAGCTAATATTTCTTTATATAATTACGTGCATGTATAGCGAACCGGCCAAACAAGCGAACCGGCCAAAACCCGGCGACCCCACCACACCTCCACGAAATATTAAATTTCTCTACAACGAAGGATGCCTCTGAAAAATGACGAAAGCCGGTTAGTCTTAGCTATCCAAGCTATGCAAAAAGACCCAAATTTACGTGCTCGAGCTGCTGCCAGGACCTATTCTGTAGACCACCGGAAGCTAGGTCGACGTTTGGTTGGTATACCTTCACGACGCGATATCTTAGCCAATTCACGGAAAATTACCGAGCTAGAGGAATCAGTACTTGTTCAACATATCCTCGACCTAGCTACAAAAGGATTTCCTCCGCGGATATCTGTAGTTTGCAAAAAGACCCAAATTTACGTGCTCGAGCTGCTGCCAGGACCTATTCTGTAGACCACCGGAAGCTAGGTCGACGTTTGGTTGGTATACCTTCACGACGCGATATCTTAGCCAATTCACGGAAAATTACCGAGCTAGAGGAATCAGTACTTGTTCAACATATCCTCGACCTAGCTACAAAAGGATTTCCTCCGCGGATATCTGTAGTTGAAGATATAGCAAATCGACTTCTTGAAGCACGCGACGCGCCACGCGTCGGGACGCGTTGGGCTTATAACTTTGTTAAGCGCCGCCCAGAACTCCAGACACGCTTCCAACGAACATACGACTATCAGAGAGCTAAGTACGAAGATTCAGAAGTCATTCGTGGCTGGTTTGAGCTTGTACGAAACACAATAGCGAAGTACGGAATCTACGATGCAGATATCTACAACTTTGACGAGACTGGGTTTATGATGGGCGTTATCTCAACTGCAATGGTTATTACAAGCTCAGAAGGACGTGTAAAAGCAAATAGAGTACAGCCTGGTAATTGGGAATGGGTTACAGTAATCCAGGGGTTAATGCCCAAGGCTGGTGTGTTCCACCGTTTGTGTAAGGGTGCGATAGCGACAAGGTCAACTGTATGCGTAAGAACTAAATTGTCTACAAAGAGTGGAAGTGATCGTAAGATCTGAGGCTATTTATAGTTCCAAGGGCACGGGCCACATCGCTTCCTCCACGTCTGTACCCTCACAGTTTGTGATTGTTGCCGCAAAAAATCACCTCCCTTCTTGGTACCAAAACAGTGGATTTCCACCTAACTGGGTGATTGCTGTTACTGAAAATGGTTGGACAACAAATGAGAAAGGCATGGATTGGATTCGACATTTTGAGAAGCATACAAAGTCCCAATCTATTGGTGGTTATCGTCTATTAGTCCTCGACGGCCATGAAAGCCACCACTCCGACGAATTTGAGGAATATTGCAAGGAAAACAACATTATCACTCTTTGTATGCCTGCTCATTCTTCTCATATACTCCAGCCACTCGACGTTGGCTGTTTTAGCCCTTTGAAAAGGGCATATGGTCAGCAAATTGAAGATATGATGCGGGCTCAGATCATCCATATTACTAAGGATGATTTCTTTCCTGCCTTCCACGCCGCATTTAATATTGCAATGACAGAAAGCAATATCCGAGGAGGGTTCCGAGGGGCTGGGCTTCTTCCATTTGACCCAGAAAGTGTAATTTCTACACTTGATCTTAAGCTAAAGACGCCAACGCCTCCAAACTCCCCCCCGTATTCCGCTCAGCCTTGGGTTTCCCAGACACCAAATAACCCTACTGAAGCCTTATCACAGACTGCATTTATTAAAGATCGAATTTTACGCCACCAAAGTAGCTCTCCAACCCCTATTTACGAGGCCATTGACCAGTTTACGAAGGGTGCATCAAAAGTAATGCACCAGATAGTACTATTGAAAGCTGAGAACCAGAGACTTCGACAAGCAAATGAAGTACTAAGTAAGCGCCGTAGAGCTAAAAAAACACGCCTACAGCAAGGAGGATCACTTAGTCAACAGGAAGCGCAGGACCTACAGGATGATAGAGACGTTGGTGAGCAGGTAATGCAGGAAATAAAGAGAAGTAGTGGTCGGAAGCCGAGGGAAGAATCACGTCCACGGCGCTGTGGCAACTGCCGAGAGACTGGTCATAATACGCGCACCTGTAATACTATAGAGGAAGTATCTGAGGAAGAAATTTCTGAATAGTGTTTTTTAATTAGAGGCGTTGTGGTAGAGTTCTTACAATTTCAATCGCGAGTGTAGAAAATTTTGGCCGGTTCGCTTGTTTGGCCGGTTCGCTATACATGCACGTTATATAAATTGAATAAACTTATAAAAAAACTATTAGGCGTAATAAGAGGGCGAGGGCGAGCCTGCGAGCCCGTCTGGCCTCGTATAATTATAATATTAGAACGTTAGTACTTTACATAACCCAAAGTCACGGAGCAGACTTTCCGATCTTCTCTGAAAATGAAGTCTCTATCATAGCATGCTTTTATTTTATCTGTCGATCTATTCTGTGTCTGTATGTACTGAAAGCTCTATCGTAAGCACAGCCCAAAGAAATCATCATTCTAGGTATTATCAGTCTCCCAACACATTCAGTAGTCCAACAAAAAGAAAACAAAAGAAGAGCCCGTAAATTCGTTTCCATAACCGTCATTTGGAGCCAATAGCTCTTCCAACCCAAGTAGAACAGCAGGAGAAAAGATAATCTAAGCCCAAATGGCCCTAAACTTCTCGTCAAACTGCTTCTTCAACTCTCGGAAAGCCTTGTAGACATTCATCAACCTCTCGTACTCCTCAGGATCACTAATTCCACCCCCGTTCTCCTTATTCTTCTTCAAAAAGTCCTCTTCCGCACCCATGGCGTCCTCACTGGCGTCCCAGTCATCGGCAATCTTTTTCTTCTTAATAGTCGGGGGAGGGACGGGTGGTTGACCAATCTTTGCCGCAACCTCTGGCTCCGTCTTGTCGGCCACCTTAAAATCGCCATCGTTCTCAAGGGCGTCACCACTACCCATTACATCGAGCATCTCAGGATCGGAATCTGAGCCCATACCTAAGTAAAGAGCGAGGGATGTTGCGATTGTTGCAAGGACCATGGAGAAGTCGTTAAGGATAAACCAGACCTAAACATGGTAAGTTAAAGATAATCGGAGCGCGAGGAGGCGATTCAAACTTACATCTGAGCTTCGAATACCATTGGCAAGTTCCAGTGGTTCAAGTTGACCATGCATGAAGAAATCAAGAAGGTATGCATTTAGTTGAGTTCCGGTATCGTCGGGGTGGATTTTCAAATGTGGTATGACGGCTGCCTCTAGGAAGACACCCTCCCGTGTGGACGAGCACAGGTCTTCGATGGTGTCAAAGTCGTCACCAAGGCCAGATAGGGCGACAAAAGCAGATCTTGCACGCGGTTTTGCGAGAGTTGGTAAGAGACTGGAAGATGTATCTTTGCTTGTACCATTACCGTTCACTAAAAGCGATGATTTACCGACTGGTGTGCGCGTCAAAGGAAGTGAGTCCTCAGGCGCCTTGACATGTTGTGCAGCGAAGGTCTTGACATATGTGTTGAAGATATCAAGGGTATCTTTGTTATGCTTTCTCAAGATCTTGATAGCTTCCTTGGGGAGTGGATCGAGGTATACTTTGGAAGGGGAACGATGAATTGTTTCTGCAATCTCGGGATCATCAATCTGTCTGCAAACTCGGCGGCCGAATAGATGACTGAGTACCAATAAGATCGTTTGGAGGACCTTCTCAGTTTTGGTGTCAATATCAGCGCAAAGCTTGTGGAAGTAACCACCTCTAAGTAATGCTGTAAAATATGTGAGTATATGCAACTTGGGTATAGCAAGGAAAACTTACCATGGAATGCAAAACTGGAGTTTTCGGTGAAATACAAGTGTGAGACGCAACTGGTAAAGTTTACAGGCTCTCCACTAGGGCCTAAGAGCTGATTTCGTCTAAGATACTCGATGGAAAATCTGAGATGATGAAGCACTTGTTCTTTGAAACTTTGCCCACCCAGATATAATCGAGGCTGTGACAATAGTGAACTGACAGCTCTCTCTGCATATTTGGAGCCACTTGCTCCGTTCAAGAGTGTGAAAAGACGCAGAACAAGTGTTGTCGTGATAGGGAAATGGCCAGTTAACTCTGGTAATCTGGAACTTAGGAGTCGGCTTGCTCTCTGCTGGGTGATATTTTGAAAGACGACATTTCCGAGTAAATCAAAACCACGACGACCTGAACGACCTGCTGCTTGTCTGAAATTGAGCGCTGTCAAGAATACAGAATCTCCACTGAAAATGACGGTAGCACAAGGCATGTTAATACCCAAGGCCAAAGTGCCAGTAGCAATGACCACTCGCAAAAATCCCTTTCGAAACAGCATTTCCACGCATTGCCGGTACTTTCGGTTCATACCCGCATGATGTACTCCGACACCTCTTTTTAGAAGCTCGATTAATTCTTGTTTAATATCTTTCCATCGAAGTGCTTTGATGAAACCATCAAGCTCCGCCTTTTGAAGACGCTTCGGGTTGGCGAAACTGAAGTCTGCCTGCGGTGCGTCGGGGTCAAAAAGGTCATAAATTGAACTGCCATCGCCAGTGTCCTCGTCTCTCATTCTGTCCATCTTAGACCCCCCTTCATCATCAGCGTCTTTACTCTTCTTCGCTGGCTTTGCGGGTTTTCGGGATTTCTTGTCTTTTAACTCTTTCCACTTCTCGTAACCATCTATCAACTTTCTCCACTGTGCCCCCTCTTTCCATTTTGTTTCAGCGTCTTCAAGTTGCTTCAGAATAGAAGATGCAATTTCCTCGCATTGCGAGCGGTCGTAGTTGAAAATAATTGCCGGTAGTGCACGTCTACTGTTCAATTGGTATAGAAGAGGTAGCGTGGTGGCTTCCAAGGAATCTGGATCGATGTCGTCCTCCGCAGTGAGGGATGAGGTATCAGATGGGGTGTTGAGACCTTCGTCTTTCTTTTGAGGAGCAGGACTTAATTCTGCAATAACACGATCGAAAGGCGATTTTGTGTCACTCATCCATTGCAGGAGCAGCTTCTTCAGAGCCTTTTCCCATGCAAAAATATCTTTCTTCTTAATGCAGGCTGGGAGAGCTTTTGCGGGGTCCAATGAGGTGGGTACCTTGTACGCGTCAGTTTGGCACTTACACATAGCCTTCCAGAGTGAAAGACAATCTCGAGACTCTAACGCCAGGTCATCCGGAATCCCTCGGGATTTGTCGACTAAACTTGCGGCTGGGTGGAACTTTTCAAACCCGGTCAGTCCATCAAGGCCCAAGCCAAGCCCGTGAGATCGTCCAAGTCCGGTAAACTTGAATGACTTAGGAGGCTTATAAAGGTATTTCCGGAGGTCTGAGTATCTTGTGGAATGCTGTATCATTTTGAGCTCGGTCCCAATAGCCTTTTGTGTTTCGATGAGCCACTCGTTGAATTGACCGGGATTTCCAACAGTCGCAGAAAGAGCAACGATAGGGCACGGTGCTAGAAGTAAGAGCTGTTCCCATACCACACCATCCTCCGCTTGTCCGATAGAATGGATTTCATCAAAGATAATTCGTCGAACCCTGGGAGCCCAAGATTTCGCATTGGAGGGCGACAGAAGCATGATCTGTAAAATGTGCGGAACAGTAACCAAGATTTGGCAACCAGTAGGATTATTTACGCGATAGTCTCTAGTATGGATTGCCCAAACACTCTTTCCAGGGAGTGGATACTTCTTGGAAAAACGGCCTGACAAATTAGCATAGCTTGAGTGGCAAAGATAATTAGAAGGAGCCTACCTTGGACCTCTGCTGCAATTTGATTGACCAGCGCCTTTGTGGGAGCAACATATACCAGTACTCCATCATTATCTGCACGAAGCACTTGTTCCATGGCATAGAAAGATATAAACGTCTTTCCCGCGGAAGTTGGCGCGACCACAAACACACTTTTGTTTGCATCGAGCTGGTCTAGAACGTCTCTTTGCCATCCGTCAGGAACGAAGCTCGATACTCGAGGGTCTGGCTTAGCGTCCAACATTCGATCCATGTAAGGACCACAGTGATTCAATTGGAATTCAGATTGAGACATGTCAATGGCAAGACCCTGTGTGGAGGCTGGATACTTGAAGTTGAACGAGATTTTGCGATCCGTGGGCGTAGATAGGAAGTTTGTTTTTGCGTCGCCAATCTCCAGGATTTTGCATATCTTGGTGACATGAGGCTCAATTTCCTTGCTAATTGGGGATTTGATGTTGCATAGCGTGCGGATCCGTGTCCATATGAGAGCTACAATATGATACCCTTGTTGCTTACCGGTTGATTTGGCCACCTCTGTCCACCAAGCTAACAGTGACTGCAGCACGTAAAGATTAATCTCCCCTTCCAGATGCATCTTTTTCCCCGAATCCAACGTGTTAAGATACTCATCTGTCCGTAGATATCTATCTTGGTCGTTTGACATGGTGTCGAAATCTTTTTTCTTTTGGGCCCAAACACTGAACGCCTTATCGGCCTCTGATCCGCCTTTTCGCTCCTTGTTGTCTGCAATCATTTTTTCTTTCTTAGAAAGCCCAACACCAGCTTTTTTTGTTCCCTTTTTATTGCCCTTCTGTGGTTGATTGCTCAATTGCTCTTCCTTCTTTAATGCCGCTGCACTCTTTGCCGGCTTTTCCTCAACAAGTTTGACCAACTGCTTTGGTCCAATTGTGATTGTTTCGGCGTCTAATGCTTTGCCCGTTGCCCCGGTCAAAGAAGCAGCGTACGAAGTCATTTCATTCATATAAAATTGGTTCAATCGCAATGGATTTCTGCGAATTCCATCAGTAGGGCATTTACGAAAGAATTCAGCCATTACTTACCGCCATTTAGAGACTTTGACTTGTAGTGGAACTTTGGGGTTCAGAGGCTTATTGAAGTTATGCCAGTGTGTTATCTCTCGATAAAGCTGCATTGAACCCAGTCGAGCTTGAACAGATGTGTCAGCATCTACGTGTATGCACTCCAAATGCTTGTCGAATACTGGGTGCGAAAAGGGAAGAACAGAGATATCTTCAGATGAGCTTTCCGTCTGTGATTTTGCTTTTGAAGACTTCGGTCCAGTACTGCCCTTCAGCGACAACTCTTCCTCCGCCAGATGCATGACAATTCGACACAGAATCTTCCAGTCCTTGCTTGCGTCTGTTGATAGAGAATCTTCTAAAGACTTGTTATTACACATTGCCTGTATCAACGCACGGAGCACGCGGCCATCGACGAGGTCGATCGTATCATTTTCTGCCCTACGCTGTGCCATGAAAGGCGCCCAACTCTCGTGCTCCATGGTCTTGTGGAAGATCATGGACAATTTTTCCAGGAAAGTTTCAAGTTTTTGCTCAAATGGCTTGTCGAAACGAACTAGTGGGAGACGTCGATCCGCGAGAGTAACATGCTTCTGTGTTACTGTGTGAAGGATGAAAGCAGAGGCCAAGAAAACATCGCAGTCCTCATTCTGAAGTAACTCAGATACGCCATATGCCGCCAGATAGAAGCTTCCCGAAGAGGTGATTCCTGGGGGACACTCAGATAACTCCTCGAGGTCTGTTGCGTCTACCTCTTGTTCTACTTCGCCTGTAATCCGCAATTGCTCCAATGAGTCTCTCATTTCTTCGATGTCTTCTGTGAAGTTGCTGCCCTCGAGTAGTTGTTGACTAGATGGGGTAAAACTTTCGACGATCATAGTGAAGACTTTGGAATCCCGAAATTCAATACAGTTAATTAGAGAGACGTTTAATTGGTGTGTATTCCACCACCAAATGATACCTCGGAGTAGTGCCTTTGTGATTCTCGCGTCGCCATTCGTTGATTCTGGTGGTGTTCGTGACCGTGAAGATCCATCATGCATCATTACAAAATGTATTGGTGTTACATAAAAATACTCTTTAAACTCTTCGCTTTCCAAAGAAGGAAACGTGTTGACCTGTATCTCCGGACGAGAGGCGGGAAGACTAATTGTCAAATGTCTCTTGATTACCGATCTTGCCAGAAGGTATTTGGCACGATGGTTTGGTGGTAGGCCTGGGGGGATGCATAGTTGCGCATTTTCTGAAATCAATGTTAGCAGATGGCGTGGGTGACAGATATAATATCCAGGAATGTCTTGGGGTTTACAGTATCGTTCGCAGAGCGAAGAGAATCGGCAATCAGGGACTTTTGCCATGCATATTCTTCATCGAATGCAATACGATGGTGCAAGGGGTGGTTCTCACCTTCAAAAAATGCAATATGAAAATTACAATGTCGCTTTACCAAATTCTCCAGAAAACGCTCAACAACGTAGACAATATGTAAGAGTTGGAATCCGCCTATGTTTTGTCAGTAAGAGTTGAGTTCGTGATGGCATAACGTTGAAAATGGTGGAAAGTCTCGCTTGACGTGGGAGGTGGAGTAAGTGCTGGCGCCTGCGTAAAGTTGACATCTTGTCACGCATATGTAGGTACAATAGCCAAGGACGCGAGTAAAGAGCGACAGCAAACAAAACGGCATCAAGGCTCAGCTCACCGTCGAAGTCGACACGATCATCTTCGAAGCATTCTCTCAGTAATGAATCGCCCTCGACCAGAAACAATTCCTTCCCAGCATAGTCGCCCACCAGGTCAATGAACATGGGTTTGGTACTATCATACCAGGCGATAATTCCGCGAGGGGCCTCATCCTGGTCCATCCCGAGCTTGTTTGGCGCGTGGCGCGCGGGGTAATCCGTTGGAATTTATCTCCCGATCGTATTTCTATCGTCGAACCCGAGAAGCGCGGTGGCGTCAGAATTATTTGGGTGGTGACGAGACGAACCTGATTCAGGGGACAGGTGGAGTCGATGGTCGTGGGTGGATTGGGTGCAATTGAAGTCAATATTGGTGTTGGTTGTCCTCGTAGGAAATTTCGATGCCTTTTTTTGGAGCGTCGAGAAGCGTGGGGCATTCGCTAGAAACCGCGCTAAGGATTGGGATTTTACCCCTCGATCACGTGACATACGGACGACATCATTCCGCGACTTGATCCACTGCCTTGTATGCCTTGACTTTCACTCTCTTCTTTCATCGCTTCATTTAATCCACCAAGGACTCTCTTACCGAAAAATGTTCGAGTTTATATTCATGTCACGCGTTTCCACCTCCAAGAAGCTGTTAAAATCGCTGTTCTCGATGGATAGCTGAGCGAACGAATACCACTAGTTGTTATGCACTTTTGATTGTCAAATCCAAAGACTACAACAAGATGGTGCTAAAGATAGAAATAAAAAGAAGAGAAAAGAATAGAAGGAATAAAATATCAACAACCAATTCATTGGATGTATAAATGACGAATGTATATATCGACGAAACAAACAGACTTTTACGATTTGTTTCAAAGTATATGGGCTCTAACTTGCAAACACGACCCCATATTTGCCTTATAAATATATCTTTTAGGAAGTATCCTAGATGTATTATTGAGATTCTATATTGGCTCGGTGTAGTGCCCAGCAGACAACCATTCACTATCCTTCGCATTCCTAGTTTATTGAATTGAAGCAGTTACATGAAACCTTTTACTAGATCAGATTGAAGATAGCGACTATACACTAGTTGAAATGGCAAAGACGCTGCGTAAGGAAAGCTCTTGTCAACACAGAAACGTTGATTAAGGCGCTACTTCCAGTATTTCAAGTGAAGTGTGTGCAATAGCAATTTTCTTACCCATCTGTACAAGAATGCACAGGAATTGTCTTTCATCAAGAAAATTCTACTGCTTGCATACTGGGTTTGTGGACTACAATGTTCTGGAATTGAAGGCTTTGGTTCTTGTTTAGTAACTCGTCACGTTATAGAACTCATGCAATTGCTATATCTTTATCAATGGAGTGGTTTCACACCAGATTGGTAAGAAGCGGGCCACAATGAGAGTCCTCAAGACAGTAATCTTAGTAGTGAATCCTTTCCTCTGGTGTCCTTTTGTTCTCTAAGGGTGGGGAAGACTTTGCAGATAAGTGGAGACCATCAAGTGTCTATGGGAACGAGTCAATATCCCCCTGCAGACCAAGTGAATCTCTGCGAATTATCTTCTATATTCTCTGCAGATAAAGCAAGCTTGTGTGTGCAAATAGACTTCTCAACAACAACTATCTGCAAATTCTCCCCAAGAAAGGTCTTTAGATAACCTACTGGAGTCAACAACAATTATTCACATTGAAAGTTGGCCCTCCATATCAGTAGTGAAATTTACCCTTACCCAATTGGGACGTAAACCCCTCAAAAAGCAGACTACCTTTCTTCTCGCTAAGGAAAGTTGAGCCGATCCTCACTTGCCATGAAACCAGCCTCCCAACTAGTTCAATGGATATCGGAAATGAGATGCTGAAGAGCACTGAAGCCAACCATATGAGCCATCTCAATACTGCCACGTTTGATTCAATTTATTCACTTCCTTATCCCAGCGGCTTTACATTTATTCCCATAATAGTCAACAGTCGGAAATTAGCTCCTGAGAACACAACAAGAACACCATCTCGTAAAGAGAACTATAACATCAACGAACCATATACTATTACGGTTGAAACGCAGCTGGGAAGGATCATGGATCCCACTCCAGTTAACGCAGCACCCCAGGTCACTCAGACAGCACCTGTTCATGGATCCCAAGCTCTCCCTGGCTTCGAATTGCCTGACGAGAATAAAGATGCCAGAATATTTGGTCCCGTCTTGTCTACAGGTCTCCTCGCTCTCGTCATCATATGTATGAGATGCTATGTTCGTTTCAAGGTGCTCCGAACCTCTTGGTGGGATGATTACTTTATCATCGGTGCGATGGTAAGTTATTTCAACCGGGTGATTGAGTTAGGAATTGACATTACCCAGTTTCTCGCTCTCTGTGGTATGGGTCTACATATTGCGGAAAACATGATGGGATTCGGTCATCACACGTACTACATCTACGCGAAGCATGGCGGACAAAAGGGTCTCAAGCTCGGCTTGGAACTTGGTCTTGCGAGTCAGTTCGTCTGGATCATTGCAATTATGTTGGTCAAATTGAGTGTCGGAATGTTCTTGCTACGATGGACTCGCATGACAAATTGGCAAAGCTATAAAGTGTTCATCTACTTTGTAATGACCTTTATCTTTGCGTATACATTCATTGTCATAGGTATGTTTATTTCTTGAGATCTAGACAAGGAATACATCAAAGTGTCTTGCAAATACTGATTGAATTGGAACAGGAGCTTTACTTTCGCAATGTACTCCTATCGTCTATGTCAAAAATGGAATTGTTACTGGATCTTGTTACGCGAAACATGCTTCGGCAGTATTTGCCTACATGCAAGCAGGTAAGCATTCCACCCGTAATTCAATCAACACTTTCAGACTAACTTTTATACCCAAGTCTGTAATGTTATCACTGATTTTGCTTTTGCTTTTCTTCCCATCACGCTTCTTTTCAAGCTCAAAATGTCGAAAAAGCACAAGGTAGCACTCGTAGTTGTTATCATTCTAGGCATTCTGTAAGTCATTCCTCCCTCTTTAGTGATTCCTCGGCTAATCACGACGAAAGTGCCTCTGTATGCTCTGCTGTCCGGTTGAAGTTTCTCGAAGCTTACGAGCCAGGCGATGACTACGAGGCCGCTCGCAAGCACTCCAATGCCCCTGATGGAAGGTTCATACTCCTAACTTCTCAATCTTTTCTCTTCTCGTCATTATTCCACCAGCAAGCTAACAGTTATCCGCTATTCAGTTGGACAGGCGTAGATTTAGTTATCTGGGTAATGGTGGAATGCCACCTCGCCATGATCGCTGCCTCAATCCCCACCCTTCGCCCCATTTTCAAATACTTCGTCGCCGTCCCCCTGAAATCTGCTCGCACCACACGAACCCGTCGCCACTTCGCCTACACCACCCGTATCGAACTAGACAACAACCCCCGCCGTCGCTCCATGCGATCAAACGGTTCATACCGCTCCATCGGCCGGTCAATGGACCGTTCCGAGACCCGTTCCATAACTCGTTCTGCCAATCGAAGTCGGTGTTTCTATAGTACCGGAGGCAGTCGTTATGAGGCCGTTGTCACGTCTCGGGATAGGCAATTGAAGGACGAGAAGACGTCTCTGTGTGAGTTGACGGATGAGGACGCGGCGTACCATTATCCGAGACATCTTGATGGGACGGTGGACGTTGGGGTGATTGCGGTTCATACGGAACTGATTTTTACTGTGGAGGATCGGGATGAATGGGAGGATGTTGAGCGGGCGAGGAGCCTTGGGAGGAGTTGTGCGCATGGCAAGTATTGAATGGGGTTTGAGGTGGAGGTAGTGGTGTTTTTTTGTGCCTTTTTTGGTTTGTATGTGAAGGATAGGGGTAAAATTACGATGGACCTGAGTTTATGTTGCTGGCACTGGGTTGCAGGCCCACGATACTCTTATTAGAGGGTTTTTATGCGCTTCGGTGGAAAAATGACAATTCTTTTCTCGTGTTTGATGATTTCTTCTTGGTTTCGTTGGGTTTCTAGTAGTGGAAGCTCTGAATCCTCCCCATCTCTCGCTTAAGTCAAATCTCACTTTACCTTACCGGAAAAACATTATCTTAACTCGAACAATGAAGTTAGCCTAAAGTTTACGAGAGAAGAGTAGGAAATATAATAACCTTGCTGTAATTGATCTAACTTTACTTAATATAATTCCTTAACAATTCTCGAATAATATAGTTAATAATTTAATAACTAGAAATCTATATAACTAGCTATTCTCGAAACATTTTATATATATTTAGCTTAGTTAGGTTCTTCGATCTAATAGGTTCGTTGTAAAAACTTTTGAGTACTATATTGATCTAGCTTTTACTAAAACATTTCTCTCTATTTATATTAACTTAACTAATCAAAAATGTTAAAGTATTAAGATTAGTTATCTAGTATTCGAAAAGTAACAAGTGTTTTTCACTATTTGCCGTATTCTATCTATCTCTGTTATCAAGTTATCCTAGAGCTAGAGGATTATTTTCCTATTATATTAGAAATTTCCAGTATAAGTTAAGTTATAACTTATATTAATACTATAAATAGTAGTAAATAAAAGCTTTATCTATTATATTATATTCGACTTTATTATAGTTATAATCTCCAAGTTTATATTATAATTACAACAAAAATACTGTTTGAAAACTTTATTACGGCCCTTGGCCTCATATTAATAATTATCTGAGAGGAGGAAGTAGAGAACAAACAGAGCCGCAAATTATTAATGTGAGAAAAGTATCCGTAAACTCCAACCATGCGATATTTCCCACCGATTGTGCTTATCATCACACCCAAGCAGCAATATCTCCCATTCCATTAGTGATCATCAATTCGTTGTCCCATAAAACATCCCAACTAACTCTAACTTGCCCTGCCTGAAAGCAGAATACAAAAGAAGTAAAGAACCCATTTTCACGAGCTAATTACCACGAAATGAGAGCGCTGATTGATCATGGTGGGCAGCAATCTCCATGTCTGAAGTGTCCGAAACAAGCTGGTTCACCGGGACCTTGGATAGAGTCGAAGCAGCAGTATTGGTATACGGAAGGAGGGATGTAAGGGCATGGGGATCCTGGTATCACTGGGTGTGAAGATTTGTTAGTTATAAGCGTGCTTGAGGGGTCTGTTGGGGATAGGACTTACTGGGACCTACGGCTTCACGGGCTTCGAGGGGCATGGCGATTGTGGTGGTGATGAGTGCCATGACGGTAATGAGAAGTTGGGAGAATTGCATTTTGATGGTTTGAGAATGAGGTTGGGAGAAAGGTGTGAAGGATTTTGAGGGGATGTAAAGAAGAGTTTGGACTTTGAAGTCTTGGAGGTTTGAAGTGTTTGATGGTGTGGAGGTTTGTATCTGTGGTTTGATGGATAATGACTTTGGAGGTCAAGAGGAGAGGTATATATACTTGAGATTCTAGAGAAACTTTCAATATACATTTGTAATTGCACTGCCTAGTGTATAAACCGACAATGCATCGCCCTGGGGAATCGTATTGTTTCTCTGCTATGTACTGTTGTTGAATATTAACTATCACGACTCGCTCAGCCGCCACTGACAGAGCAGAGCCTCGTGATTCCATCCAAATGTAGACGCATGCTCTTTCTTTACAAAGAATGATGGCCTATGAACAGGAAGTACCTAAATATAGACTAAACCCTTCGGCTCTTTTACTCACATCACGACCACACTCTACTCTTCAAGCCGCATTTAGAACCCATATCCCCCAATCATCCCCATCAGCCACCCAAAAACCATCGCCCCCGCAAAACAACGTCCCCAAATACGAACTTTCACCTAGGTCACATCTAAGCCTGTACAACAAAACATACAGGTCACCTGCTGCAATAACCCCGGGAAAAACACCAGCTCGATACAGAATCTATTTCAAATACGAATATGTACTTGTGTAACCACCAACACGAGTCTGAACAAACCTTTGTTATCCAATAATCTCCACGTTTCTCTGCAGAGGTCGAAGAAGAGGCCCAACACTGCCACGAAGGATCTAAGGTTTACGAGGGCGGAGGTATTTGACGCTGCGGCACAGGAAAAAGAAGCGCTTGTTTAGAGGGTTTTATTGGCTGATAGGCGAGTGCGTTCGTATCCTTGTATTGATACGGTGGGTATTGACGTATTACTGTGGATTGCTGCGAATCTCTGGAGGAAGGAAGATTTTAGCCGCTGCTCTCGTGTACTAATTGGGGACTTCGGAAGGTTACACGAGGGCAAAAGCCTTTTATATTCCTTATTTGGAAAATGGTGGTGTCGGGTCCTGGGTTTTATGGAGTTGATGTTTGACATTTTTGTGCGTAGAACGATTGCATGGTTATTATGATAATATTTGACAAAACAAAAAAGGTCTACAATTTGATAGTTCGAGGGGGAAACTTGTTTTTGCTTCTATAATGAACGGATTTAAAGCACATCTTGATAGAAAACACATCGATTAAACCACGGTCATAATATTCCTCTCATTAACTTCCAACAACCACAATATCCTGTCCAAACAACACCACGCGCTAGAAAGGGCCCCCTAATGTAGACGACATGCTCTCATCTAATTCATTGGGTGTCCCTTCTTGCAGCAGAAATCATTCGGTCTATACCAGTTGCATCCTGGCGTACTAAATCCTGCGGCTGGTCGGCCGATGCCGCAGCAGGCGTTGAAGCTGTCACGGTCTATTCTTCCACAATTCTCGACCTTTTTAGGAGAAGTCTGGGTGGAGGTACGAGGAAGAACTAGATCTACAATTTTAGAGAAATCCAATATGAGAGGCCCTCTTCCTATCGGAATCCATTGGCGCGGGAGATTCAGGAAATTGAACTTACGGTTGGAATTGACAACTGTCTCAACCTCGATCGGAATCGCGATTGCAACGGTCCCAAGAGCCATGATAGAGACGAGAAGCTGGGAGAATTGCATTTTGCTGTTGGTGACTTGAGAATGGAATTGTGTTGATATTTGAAATTTGAAAGTAGAACCAAGGATTGAAAGGAGATGATGCTAGAAATGGAAGGTGCTCTGAAGTGTTTATTGTAGAGTACTCGATATTGCTCGATGTGTTTGTGGGAACGATTGAGAGACTTGAACCTCGATATATATACTTCGAATTGGTGAACTGCGCAAACATCTCTTAGATATTTGTAGATAAACTGCCTGGTATTCTTACTTGTTATTTCCATCGTCTGATTCTTTATGTTGGCTACGGTGGCATTTCAGACCTGGTTCCGTGCAGAGGTCCTCTAAGAATAACGGGCACCAGACACTGGAAAGGTCATATCCAGTAAGTCCTTAATGAAAGCCCAAGCCTAACAAACTCAAGGTTTCTGGTATCCAGTAATCACCAGTCATCCTCACCAACAGCCAGTAGTGCATGACTTCAGACGCATCAGCAACACACCGCAAAGCAACCAAGGACACCTGATTTGAGGGTTGCGAGAGGCCAAAGCGACACGTGCTTCATACTTCCCCAAAAATAGCAAATGCAAATGTATTTTTGGCGAGTTTTGATGTTGGTATTGTGGCTAGGTGAGGGGGGCTTTTTGGTCGCTAAGCCACGGACCAACTTGATATCGTGTTGGTGTCTCTGTTGGGACATTTTGTAAACTCGGAATGTATAGGTGAAGTGGGTTATTGTTGGCTTCTGTTGGACAATGACCGTGACGGTTGAGTGGGCTCTTTGTTATAAAAGATACGCACTGCTACGGTTTAGAGATGGATTTACTCTATCGAATCTCAAGTATCGTCACTTTGACATTCTTCTTCTAGTCCAGTGTTCCATTCCGATAATTCGGCTTTCGAGATATTGCGTGTAGTTTAAAGACACAGTAATCAAATCGAATCTTCCTGATGCTAACTCATTATCCAAAGAGTTCCAGAGCTTCGGGTTTTGTCAGCTTGTTACTTGCTACTATACCCTGAAGTTTTCACGTATGATTTTTTGATTCGGTTGTGCTTCTTTAAAAGATATCTATACACTAGCCGACTGAGATTTCCCAAGTGTTTCGTTATTTTCATTGCCTACAGCAAAGACCAACATCACGCGCCACACAATCTTGTTCAAGATCGTTGAGAAGTAAAACGAACCAGCCACTATGATTAGACAGGTTGATGTTCGGGCCCGTTATTGTCATCGATAGAGGGCGACCACACTACTACAAGTGAGTATGTTTTTCATGAACGAGGGCGTATTCTCTGTGGGAGCGGAACTGTAAACTTTCAGGCCGATAAATACTTAAAAGCGTGACCTTAAATCCGTCTTTAAATCAGCGTTAGGTTTTACGTTTTACACTTATTCTCTCCATTGCTTTAGTGAAAACCCTACCTCATAATACATAAAGCATATTACTTACAAACGATTAAGGCAAAGTAGACCCATAAATTTCTCGAATTCAGAACTTTCTAGTACAGTACTCAACCCTCTTCAAATCCAAACAATATCACCACCCTATATATATGAATCATTTATGAAATTTCATTTACGTTTAGCCTTCAATTTATACAACCCAGGGATTTTATCGGTCTGTGAAATTCGATCTACAACTATACTTCATATTACGTTCGTGAATATTGCCCGTTTATTATTCTCTCCCGAGCTTTCGCGCTAATCACTCCCACTATCAGTGGTCCTATTAGCATGTTATTTTGGTTACTTTCAGCTATTGCTTGCAGTAAAAAGTACGATATCTGGTCATAACTCTGTACACACTATATAAAAGTTAATATACTAAACCTCTAGCACAAGTGAAACAATTGTCTTAATATACCTAGACTAGCAAATAGCAAGTATTAAGGATTATTCTAAACTCTTTAATACACATTTTAGTAGTACGAGGCTTCTAGGACAACGTTATTCTAAGGGAGCGTGTATAGAGTAATGACCACGTTTCTTACCCTAATTTCCTCGTCATTTGTAACCTTTGTTTTAATCACTTGGCTTTCTTTCTTGGACCCGTGAGCTGGAACGCTTCACACACATCTTATCTTATCCCATTAGATTTATAGTTGTCGCGATATCCACCCACCTTCTGGATGAGGCTAGTCACATGACATGTCTAGGAAGTGCTCACGGTTCTTATTTTCATAATAGTATAACACTTAGACTAATTTATACGAATAATAACTGACATGATATTTCGTAACCTTTAACTATTGCTTGGTGAAACCAATAAAAGTTCAAGACATGGAGATGCTTCACACAAGTACAGCCTAATGTCACGTGTTGCGCCTAATGAAACTACATTCGCCCACCCCATCGCCCCAAACACCATATTTCCAATTCGCTCTTTCAAACGATATTTTCCTGATGGGGTAGGCAGCCTGACCAGGCTGAGTTTCCACCACTGCTGAGTGCCTAAAATTCCACCATGACTGCGTCTAGTGCGTGCTAAATTTCAGTCGGCATTTAAAACGATGGCAGGGTGCAATTTATTTCAATCAGAAAGCTTGCTCTCATTGTAAGTTGTCAAAAGAGAAAAAGTGCCGTGGACGTACAGTAAGAATGACATTGTGCAGACAATACACCTGTTCCAGATATGACCATTGTTTTGGGTAAAGATTAAGAATAGCTGGGAGGTGTAAGATTACTACAGGAGTAAACTCCCCTCCGCCTGTTTTCTAGTCCTCCGAAGGTTGAAGTATAGCAATGACCACGCCAACCCATATACGGTGAGTACATATAAGTGTGTTGGGTGAGCCTTTAGTCAAGAACAGGGGCAAATTGATTTGCAATGTGTTCGTGGAAAAAGCAACCTTCAAACCCAAAGCACAGTTGTGCATCAATACAAAGAACTCGATGCTACTTGGATTGCAAATAAGAATTATGGATGCCCCCTAGGAGTCAGATTGGAACCTTGGATGAGGTGAGATTCTTGTTACTGATAAGGTTATGATATAAGACAACTTGGTTTTCTGTACTGTACCGCCTTTGCCAGCGAGAAAATTGGAGTGGGGTGATCCGGGGTTTCCGAGGAACACAAAAGGCCCACTTGATATAGTAATCTGATCCAGTTTTTGAAATTATCCAATGAAAATAATCATTTGGAGTAACCATAATCATAAACCAAATATCCTTGAACCAGTAAGATAGCTGTCCTAACATATTCTAATATAGCTAGAAGAGGGAACAAGAAAATCGTGGGGTTGCGAGCTCTGTTAATACAGTAAGCTTACTGTACAGTACATCGCAGTTAGTCAGGCGCCCATTCAACGTTAACGATGTCATGCAGATTCATCACCCACCTTTTTTCAAGAGGGACCCAAAATTGCCTGTGATATCCTTCTGTTTGCTATGAATTTCGTAAATCCACAAACAATATGTCCCTCCAATTCCAACAGGCTTGGCGATTCTGGCTACCCATGCCATGTAGACTATGATGATTGGCGAAAATTACGAGCAAGGCTGCAACCCACTATAGGTGGACACTTCATCACGGTACTTGAACAAGGTTCTTACCTACTGCTACTTCAGCCGCAGCGTTATGTCTAGATTATTTACCACCGTTAGGCTTGATGTAAGGTAAAGGGTGTGTCGCATTATTGCGGAAACTATTGTGCCTGTTGCCTCCCTTCTCATCTTCCAAGTATATCTCTGCTACAGTCCTGTTCTCTTTCAGTCGAATTGAACAGACTTTCCATTGGAATCTCTGATATTCACCTACTTTTCACTACTCTGTATTAGGGGAATCAATAAAGCTCAATTGGAATTCACTCATTCTACCTTGTGACATTTCATCTCCCTGTTTTTAATTGATGTTGGCAATTCGGGCAAGAAACCCCGAAATTGAAGATATGCCTCAACCAGTGAATAAATGCAAGTATCGTGCCAAGAGGGGGTTTTTAAAAGCAGAAAGCGAAGGCAGCATCACAGACTCCCACGACCCTCAGTATCTTGAAGAGGAACCAACATATCCAGAAGCCACGACGATTACCCCCACAATGAAGAAACCAAAGCATCTATCACCCCAAGAAGCAATCGATGAGTTTTGGGCCAAGTTTGATAGCAAGACACCAGGCAGAGGTATTCACGCACCCAATTTCAACCATTGCATGCTAATATTTCATTCTCAGCATCTACCATCCTACCCAAAAATCGATTCGCAAAAAAGGTCAATGAGAAAGAACCGGAGGGAGAGGTTGAAAGCGAAAATGCCGTATCCTCATATGAAGAAGCTTCGAAAGCTTGCAAAGAGAAGGTCGCAAAAATTGTGAAGGAATGCAAGCGGATCAATCAAAAATACCGGGACCACCATTTCGATATTGAATTTGACTTGAAGTGGAGAACAAATGATTGCTTGACAACTTTGAATTCAAGCAAGGACGAGGAGACCAGGTTCAAGCCTGGCTCTGTCAAGCGAGTAACGGATATATTTGATAACCCACAGTTCTACTGCGATGGTGCAACGCCAGGTGACATCCGACAAGGCAGGGATGGTGACTGTTGGCTTCTTGCTGCTTTGTCTACTTTGGGTAACAAAAGTGGTATGATTGAAAAGTTATGTGTGGCGAGGGATGAATCGGTTGGGGTTTATGGATTTGTTTTCCATAGAGACGGGGAGTGGATTTCTGAAATCGTGGATGGATGACAAGTTGTACTTAGTCAGACCCGATTATGACGAGAGCTGGAATGAGCGTATTCTTATTGATGTGCACTCCCGCATCGATCCACAGGAAGAATACAGGAAACTATATCAGGTATGTTCAAAAAGCCCGTTTGTCATGAGCTGTTCATATTCCAGTCGCGTACAACTTTGAAAGAGAAGTACGGAAAGAATAGCCTCAATTGTTCCCTCATGGAGGGGAGGGGGGCGGGGCAATTTGCAGTCATAATATTTGACCATCCTTAATATTTTGGATACTCAAAGTGGCTCTTCAAAGCAGTGGCAACATTGGTTACTGCGTAGTTTGTAAACAACTCGCATCATACCTTTCTCAGGACAAACTTCCACTGCCAGTCAATTATTCTAAAATTCATTGATACTCTGACTTTGTCGTCTGTATGGGACACAGCTAACTGAAATAGTCCAACTCAAGTGCACTCTACTTCGCTCATTGTGAAAACCCGAATGAGACCTGGCTTCCACTACTGGAAAAGGCTTACGCCAAGGCGCACGGAGTAAGTTTAAACACATCACAATATAACTCATTGTATTGTATTGATCCCAACTAGGACTTTGAATCAATTGAAGGTGGATGGACTGGAGAAGGACTAGAAGATTTGTCTGGCGGAGTGACAACTGAACTATTTACCACCGACATACTCGACAAAGAGTATTTCTGGAAAGAGGAACTCATGAAAGTCAATCAGGATTTTCTTTTCGGATGTTCGAGTGGCATCTTCCGGGGCGTACGTGGACACAGACGAGGTGTCTTGGAAGGACATGCGTATTCTATCATGAAATGTGTTGAGATTGAGGGCAAACGGTTTTGCCTTGTTCGAAACCCGTGGGGTAAGGGAGAATGGACTGGACCATGGGGTAAGTCCGACTAGCCCCGTCAAACCTGCCGGGTAGAAGATGAAGCATTGCCGATTCTGACAAGTTACAGGCGATGGAAGCAAGGAGTGGACTCCTGAATGGATGCAAAAGCTTGATCATAAATTTGGTGACGATGGCATTTTTTGGATGACCTATGAGGACCTTCTCATTACTTTCCAAACGTTTGATCGAACCAAGTTGTTCACCGACGAGTGGGAGGTCACTCAGAAATGGACATCCATAACCGTTCCTGGGGCCATCGAATACAACGATACAAAGTTTTCCTTCACACTTGAGAAAAAGACGTCTGTTGTCATTATGCTGTCCCAGCTCGATGTAAGATACTTTTGCGGTCTCGAAGGTCAATATAACTTCTCTTTCACATTCCGTGTTCACCGGGCCGGTGAGGAAGATTACATCGTCCGAAGCCAAAGCGGCTACAGCATGAGAAGGTCTGCGACTACAGAGCTCGAGCTCGAGTCTGGCGAATACCATGTCTTGATAAAGGTCCAAGCAGAGAGGAATGACAAAGTCGCAAAGGTTGAAGATGTGCTCCGCAACAATGTAAAGACGCGAAGAGACAAAGTCTTGCGAATTGGTCTCGCATATGACCTAGCACATGCAAAAGGCCGCATCTTCGAAACGAACGAGGAGAAAGAAGCCAAGAAGAGGGCTGAGAAGGCTGAGAAAGATAAGGTAACGAAGGAGATGAAGGAAAGGTTGATCAAAGAAAAGAAAAAGAGACAACAGAATGAAAACAGAGAGAAGCGGAAACAACAAGCGGCTGCGGCCAAGAGGAAGTTGAAGGAGAAAGGAAAGGCTGAAAAGCAGGCGGAGAAAAAGAAAGCTAAAAGTGCTGCAAAAGCTCAGAAGGGAAAGTTGGCTGAAGAGTCACAGAAAACAGGAGACTCTACAGGGGCTACTGAGATTGAGAAAGAGAAACAGACCACCCCTGAAGCTCAATCCACTGAGACTGTCGTAACAGACACCAAAAATGATTCAGACGTAGGAGAAGTTTCTGAGGAGATCAAAGCCAGCGATAGGGATAACTCCACTGAAGAAACAAAACATGAATCTGCATCCAAAGCGACAGACAAGGTGGAGCCATCTACGCAACCAATAAAAGATGAACCTGGAGCCAAGGCAAGAGAATCTAAGTCAGCCGCTAAGAAAGGTGATATCAAATCAGTGGCTTCAAAAGCGGAGGATTCCGATGAGTCTGATAAGGAATCTGAACCAGAGTCTAATTGTTCTGATGTTCCAGATATCTCGACAATAGAAGCTGAAGATGCTGTCTTGGAGGAAAAGGTCGCTGCGGATGAAGCTCTTGCTAAAGCCAAAGCCAAAGCCAGAGCAAAAGAAGAGGAAGAAAAAGAAGAGGAAGAAGACGAGTTTCAAAAGGATCCTTGGAATGCCATCGCAGTGGTAGGATTGAGGATTTATGCTAAAGATTGTGATGTGACTGTCAAGGTTGTGAGACCAAGGAGCTGGGAACATGGGGAAGGCAAGTTGGATGTTGATGACAGCACCAGAGATGCAACGAAAGGTGTAGATGGAGGTAAGGATGATGAATTGAAAAAAGAAGAGGCAGAGGAAGAAAAGGCGAAGAAAGACGGCGGTGAAGGATCTGAGGTCTTGGTTTAGACTCTGGATTCCATTTTCATCCTTTAATGCGTCTCTCATATTTCTGCCCATCGCACAGCGCTGGCGCTGTGAAATAATAGTTCACAGGTGTAATGAAGGAACTTTCTTTAATATCGGACTTTTTCTTGAGAATCAAAGTTGCACAAATTCGTGACCTACTGACACTTTGTATGCTGTTTTGTGAGTGCTACACTGTACTGAGTTGTTGCACTGGTATAACAACTTCTGTTCTAGGTAAACCATCTGGAATAATACACAAGCTTTGGGGCTACATGGTATCTCCTGCTTCTAAACTTGTGGCTATGTAACAAATGGTTTCCGGACGCCTGAAGGCTAACTATTTGTCTACAGCCGCTGCTTTGACCTCTGAATATGACCATAATAATCGATCCAGAAGTTTTGAGGCTATTTTGTACCAATTACCATAAGAGAGCGCGACACTGTACTCACTCCTTCGTTATTTTGTAGGTATTGAGCACTATGTTTCGTCTGATTCGCCTTTTTCTCACTTTGCCTTCCGTGTACTTTTTTTTTTGGTGTCACCTATATGTGGGGTGTTGAGCTGTCTCTCGGATATATACACAGGCGTACAAAACAATTCTTAGTTTGGTCTGAGTTCCGTTGCATCTGCAATAACCATTTTAATAGGATATTAACTACCGAGGTCATGGCTCGAGCAAGCCATCTCGCCGACAAACAACCATGGGTGAAAGGTGATTTGACCATATCCTCAAGTGCCTCAACTGTATTACCATTGTTGGGACGAAAAATAAATTTAAAAGTATTGACTTTCAAATTGCGTATGCTTCTAAAGTCAAATCCTCTGGCGGATGGGCTGTGAATCAGAACAGGGAAAAATGTTGGCATAACATAGAAGGTCATTCGCGAAACTGATCGACGATTGCAGTTTTCTGAACCTTTGCCACAAACTGATCATCGGGTCCACCGAATATCTAACTGACCTTTTTCCCAACGTCGCGTCTCTCAGCTTTCAGAATCATGTGTCTATGTTCTTGCAGATTTGTCTTTGCTGAAAGGTCAAAAGCTTCAAAGTCTATATTGCAAAGTTTCAATTCTCGTGAGAAGTAGGACAAGTGAAATGAGGTACAGCGGATCCAAAAACACTGAGCCAATCTCATCGCTTATATGTTGGACAAGATGCAAATTGTTTGTTATCGATCGTTAGACTTTTATCTTGCGTTGTGGTTGGGATCTACAGCAACCAGAAGTTGGCTGTGTTCCCATTCATGTGGACTAACAACTCAATTCTCCAAACTGATCTGCGTCTTTAACATGTCTATTCGCTCTTGGAATCTGTTCCTGCTAGGAATGCTCATGATTTCCGTAAGTCCTTTTCCAAGCCTAAACCTCCCTTACAAACTTCTTTCCGCCTGGCCATATTTACCAATTGATTGAGACTAGGAGAAAACCCTCCCATCAGATCGTCTCTATCACAGGCCCCACCAGTCATTCTCTAGGTTTCCCCACCATCAATGGCAGAAATCACTGGAGTAGAAGCCCATCCACTGAGATCCGTTGTCACACATCAGGAAGACGATGCCACTACAAGTGAACAAAAAATTGAGCTTTCCGTCTCTGAAAAGGCATTATCAGACCATGGGGCCGATGTAAACACTTCCAATCCCCAAGACATGGTTTCAATGGAGGAAGAGCTTTGGTGGAGCCAATTTAGACACAAAATGCGTGAGCCATTTTCGGAGTTCTTTGGAGTTTTTATCTTAATCCTCTTTGGTGAAGGGTCGGTGAAGCTGTGAATTTATTATTGTTGTAAGCTAATGGATATCAAGATCAATTGCACAATTTATCTTAGCGAATGGCACTAGGGGTGATTGGCAATCGGTAAATTGGGTACGTCAAGTTTCCAAATATCGTTAACAGGAGTGCATCATTTTGCCTGGACAACATCTTAGCCGTGACATTATGCTGACCTTGATATCAGGCTTGGGGTATTGGTGTCATGCTCGGGGTTTATATATCAGGCCCTTCTGGGGGACATCTCAACCCCGCTGTCACGTTCACAAATTGGTAAGACAAGTCTATAATCCGATACCTTAAGCCCAAATTAACAAATTCGTCAAGTATCTTTCGAAAATTTCCTTGGCAAAAGTTTCCGACCTATATACTAGCTCAAACTTTGGGCGCCTTTTGTGCCTCTGCTATTGTCTACGCAAATTTCAAATCCGCGATTGATCTAATCGAGGGCCACAATATCCGAACTACTACAGGAGGGCACCCGACTGCTGGAATATTCAGTACGTATCCAACAAAGTTTATGACCAGAACAGGAATGTTCTTTTCCGAATTTATCGCATCTACGATCCTCATGTTCTGCATCTACGCCTTGCAAGATAACAACAATGTTGGAGCGGGAAAACTCACGCCCCTTGGGTTATTCTTTGTCGTTTTTGGTATTGGGGCTTGTTTTGGGTGGGAAACTGGATATGCCATGAATTTTGCCAGAGATTTTGGTCCGAGGGTTATGTCCGCTATGGTGGGGTATGGTGCTGAAGTTTTCAGAGCTGATGATCACTACTTTTGGATTCCGATGTTGGCGCCATTTTTTGGATGTACCTTTGGAGGATGGATGTATGATGTCTTCCTGTTTACAGGTGACAGTCCTGTGAACACTCCTTGGATGGGTTTCAAAAGATTAATGATTGGTCCTGGGAGAAGGTTGGTTGAAAGTTCTGAGGCCTGAAGGTTATTACCGCAAGTAGATCGGTAGGGTTATACTTAAATTACTAATAATATTACATTTCTCCAAGTACTGTACTGTTGTGCTGGGTCTACTTTCTCTTTTGCTCCACTTCCTTATTTGATCCACTTATAGTTCTGCTGCCTAAATGCTTCATGTCTGCCTAAACCTTACACTCTTTATATAAACACCTTAGATAGCTACCTTTTACAATGCAATCAATTCTCCATGACCTTCAGTACCCAATACCCTTTCAACCCAATATGTACATATCCGATAGATTTTCCTGACATATACCGCATGGACTTGGGCGGATCGGGCACGGAATTAATAAACTTTTAACTATAAAACAAGTCTCTTATACAAAGTTTTATATTAGAGGAGTTAGCTAATTGTAACCGTGTGGAGTGAACCACTGCTTGCTGTGATGAATACGGAGTCAAACGGAAACTGCTGTATTGAGCGAACAACAAAGTGAGGAAGGAAGAGAGTTCCAGAGGAACGAGAGCTTAAATACAGGATGCCAGCAGCGCGCACGTGACACATA